TGCTCCAACCCGCCCCATCACTTCTTTTGAGGAACTCGAGGAGGAGGAAAGTAAGGGAAGCTTCATATCTTGTTTTCAGTGTAGTCAGAGTCGGCGCCTGACGTTTTTACTCATTGTGGTTAACACTCTGTTACCCAGTTTGGCCTAATCATAGTTAATTTGAAGAGTTGTGACTTGCTGAGCAACAAAGATCTTGAGTCTGACTCTGTATTACTTCTTGCTGCTGCAGTATCTGTTCTGGGGTTGTGGTTCCAGTGACATCTCTTGGCGACGCGGACAATTTAAGCAGGAACCTTCACCTGCTCCCAAGGGGACAAGAATTTGTTCAGGAGGAGCAGAAGTAACACTTTTCTTTTTCCACTTCTCTCAGGGGGTGTGAAGCTGGGCCTTGGAGACTTCATATTTTACAGTGTGCTTGTTGGGAAAGCAGCTGCCACAGCTAGTGGAGACTGGAATACTACACTGGCCTGCTTTGTAGCCATTCTCATAGTAAGTGAGCAAGCTTTTAAAAACTCAGTTACAGCCTGTTTAGCACAGCAGTGTTGCCAGAAGTACTAGCAGCTGAGCACTGCTAAATCTCTGCAGGTAATATGCTGGGTGTTTAGGAGAAACCACCAGTGGATTTCCCAGCCCAGTGCTCTGTCTATAAAGACAGGCTTTAAACAGCCGCTGGGAGAAGCTGAACGATACGGGCTGGGAGGGAGGATTCCTCAGAGCAGAGCCAAGTGTGGAGATGGTGGGGGTGAAACAGCCCCAGGCAAAACAGTTACAGCTGAACTGTTAGTGTGTTTGCTTCAGTGTTAAAGATTGCGGACTTCTGTCAGCCACAAAAGTCAATATTATGAACTCCACATAGATTATCAAGTCCGCTGGGAGAAGCTGAACGATACGGGCTGGGAGGGAGGATTCCTCAGAGCAGAGCCAAGTGTGGAGATGGTGGGGGTGAAACAGCCCCAGGGAAAACAGTTACAGCTGAACTGTTAGTGTGTTTGCTTCAGTGTTAAAGATTGCGGACTTCTGTCAGCCACAAAAGTCAATATTATGAACTCCACATAGATTATCAAGTGTAGTTGAAAAGGTTAACTCCCTTTTGCTGAGGAGAACGGCTAAATAAGAGGATGAAGACCTATCTTGTTCTTCTATTCATGCTGGAAAAAACAGGAAGGAAGGACACTTAAAAATCCTTGGAAATTGTCAGTAAAAGCAGATGACAATCATACTGAAACTGCTAAAGGACTTGGTCCTGCCAGGTCTAATGACCACACGCTGTTGAACTTTCACCTAGGTAGAAAATAATTACTAGGAACTTGCTGTTTACACCAGACTAGCCAGAAGGGCAACAGCAGGAGTTATAGAAGGTAGAAGAAAATGAATTATCCCGTCCTTCTTGGGCCTCCCTTTCCCCACTTAGATCCCAAGGATAGTGAAAGAACTAGAAATGAACTAACTTAAATAAAGCGTGTTGAGTGTAGCTTTCCTACCTCACAGGTCAGAGAAACCTAAAGGATCACCTGGCTCCATATCCTAGGGTCCAGCACAGGGCCCCTTCGCTGATGGGAATGTTCTCTGTTGTCTGTCCGTGAGGCAAAATGTCCCATTCTGTTTCTTTTACGGTGCTGTTAAAATTTTTGGAGCCTAGTGTCTCTGCAGTTTTGTCGTCATGGAGGAAGAAGAAAGGGCTCAGATGAGAGAAGGAATCCATACCTAAATGCACTTAGGCATACTGTCTACCCAAAATGTACAAAAGCTTTCACACATGCTCAAAAAACCAGCTCTTGGCCTGCTATCCAGATAAAACCAGAATTCACCTATCATAGTAAGCAATCCAGTCAAAACAACAGCAGTGGATATTTTGGGGTTTTTTTTGTTCTCTTTTACCCCAAGAGACTTGGAAAACTGGGAAGGTGTTAGAAGTACATGCTGCTGTGTATTAGTCCTCCAGTGAAACTCCTTATCTGTGCGGTTCACCAGGATTTAAGTGCTTTTATCTGCTGGATCAGTACTTCATAGATAATGGCATAGAACAAAATGTAAAATAATCTGTAAGTAAATTAACTTCTCGGGGTCGGCTTTATGTCAGCACTAGCTGTTTATACCACTTTCTCAGCGGAGAGCTGTGTTCAAGATTGCTGAAGAAAATACGTGGCCAGCTTGTGTGAAAGATGAAGGTGTGGGCAAGCGTACCTCATGCCACTGGTAGCTCAGGCAGGCTTCAATTGCTGTACAGTGTATATAGCTTATTATTTGTGTATTAGTTTGTTGATGACAGATATGTTTCTGGGCTTCTTACTATATCTCCTTGTGTTTTTTATTCTCTCTGGCAGGGTTTATGCTTAACTCTTTTATTACTGGCTGTTTTTAAGAAAGCACTGCCTGCCCTTCCCATCTCCATTACCTTTGGCTTGGTCTTTTACTTCTCGACAGACAACCTTGTGCGACCGTTCATGGACACCCTGGCCTCCCACCAGCTGTATATTTAGAAGAAGTGGGAGTTAGAGGATTCTTTTTAAAGTTTTGCTGTGAAGTATCGTACACTGTTTGGAATAAGTCATAAAGTTTTACACTTAGTGCCATATATTTGTAAGGAAAACACTAACTCTGTGACATGATGTGTACTAAAAATCTAATAGTTACATGTTAAACTGAGATTTTTCACAGGACTTTTGGACTCCAGTGAAAAGCCTGGGTCACTGCTGATGTCAGCGCATTACTTTTATTTTATTTGATGTGCACACTGGCTGTTGTGAGCACAGAAACCTGTATGTAGCATGGGACACTGGAGAAGGGTCTGATCTGTGCTTCCAGAAGCTAAGGTGTTTTAGGCCTGGAATTGCAATCAAGTTTAACTGTACTCTAGAATTGCTAATGCTTCACACTTCTGAAGTGTTGTGCAAACACGCAGTGCAAGTAAGTCGTACTTGTAATCAGAAAAGCATAGCAGCCAGCATGCACAGAACAGAGCAGTGCATTACACCTGGTCGTCAGCATTAGAGAAGCGAGGCTGAACTTCATAAGCTGGCCTCTGTGCACACAACTTCTGTTGAAATTGCCCCAAATGGCTATTTATTCTGACCTTAGTGGGACATAGTGAGCCATGACGGATCTAGACAGGATGTCAGTGGTGGGACGTTTAAACATCAGGCTTCTGGTTCTGAGAGCATCCACCACTGCAGCTCACAGCTGAAGGCAGGGCTGCCCGTTCCAGCACATCAGATCCTCAGCGTGGGAAGACACATACTTTTTCCTGTCTCCTCCCAGCATTTTATCGCTTTGGAAATCTTTTTCTGGGTCCATACCACAATCCTTAAATTACCATAAGGTAGAAATTACTGCACAACTCCAGTAAATCAGTTGACCTGTAACTTCTGGTATGTATTTCTGGTCTCATTTCTGTGCATTGTTGTAACCACTCCACAGGAGGATTTACCTTCCCTTTACGAAGAGGTTCTCTTAACACTGATTGAGGCTTGGTTTACCTAGTTTTTGGTACTGTTTAAAGATTATTTTTTTTAATTACAAATTTTAAAATAGCTATTTAATGTCAAAGGGACTCTTTTGGAAATACCCTGTCATAGTTTGTATCAAAATAGGGGGGTGCAAACTTTAACCTGCTGTGACGTTACTCTACATAAGACATCATTAATGCTAGGAATATTTACACAGCCTCAAGTGTGGTCATTAAAAAAAAAAAAAAATCACAGTGCTTGTTGCCAGTAAAAAATACAGGTCTGACTGAACCTTAATGTTTTCTCCAGTTTTTAAAATAATTTTATTTCTACTCCGAGAGTCAGTTTTCTAGAAATAGCCAAGTTCTGTGATTTTTTTTCTTTTTACTCGAGTGTCTATTATGCAAATAAGCTCTGTTTTCTTTTGACAGCTAATCAATGTCAGTGTTTCAACATGTAACATTATGCAAGGTTTTGTGAATAATGCAATGTCATTGAGAGATGTAGAATTTTATCTCTGAAAATACTTTTTAGATAAGGCTTTGAACTATGTATTTTTAAGGTAGTGCTTTTTCCAATAGACTTGTTCAAGCTAATCTACTTTGATATTTAACAAGGACATCACACAGATGATTCAAACAAATTTTTAAAAAGTGTGTAAGGGTTTTTACGAGTTGTGTGTGTCTCAGTTTGGACAAGTAGGTAATTCTTGCTCTTTGTTTAGTTTTCTGTCCTCATTTCTTACATTTGCAATGTTTGGACTTAACAGCTGCAGAGAGAGTTAATTATTACTAAAAGGTATTTCCTTTGGAAACATAAATCACTAGAGCTCTGTCTGCTGATTTTTAAGGTTTATGTGAGAGTTCGTTTTTCTTTTTGTTTGTTGTTTGGGTTTGGTGTGGTTTTTGGGGTTTTTTTGTTTGTTTGTTTGTTTTTTTAAACTAAAACAGTTACGGGGCCAAATCAGAATACAATCAATCACTTGCAAACATGATTTTACTTTTTGCATTGCATGGTGTAGAGAGGATGTGAAATATTTATATGTACTAGAAGAAAAAATCCTGCTTGGCTTCACAGGGTTATAGAATATTGTTAGAAACAATTTATTTCTATGAAAGCAGAGTTGATATTTGAAGGAAACTTAGGGGGTACCTTAAAATATTGAAGGATCACTACTGGAGCTGGTGGTTTTCTGCAGATTTGTGCTTGCCAAAGATTGGCCTTCCACTGAGCAATTCTGCATAACTGATAAAAACTGTAATTTAAAAGGTAACTGAGCAACAGATTCTGTCAGTGCAACAAAATGTATTGTCCTGGTGAATGATAGGATTATATCATATATATATACTGGAGTGGTTTTAATTGTGTAAAAGTTCATATGTATTTACTACAAATATATATATTCACTGTGTGTTTATGTGTGTATTTACACACATACACACAAGTTTCAAAATGATATAGAGTGATTTCTCATCTCATTTGACATTTTCACCTGTGCATAAAGTGAAGTTTTGTTCGTGATGTTAACATTGTGCAGCATGGCCCAAGATGCGAAAATGGAGAGGGCAGGATTTACTCTACTCCTTAGTTGGCTACTACATGAGATACTGACTCAGTGACCTGGCAACTTGAATGAGCAAAGCATTTGTCTGTCTATTATGTTCATTCACTGTTTTCAACTTGCTGCATGCTCTTCCGAACTGCAGTCTCTTTCATCCTGAAGAAATCCTAATACTCCCACTGATGCGCATCCCTGAAAAAGCACAGCTGTCAGGTAGGCTGGGGTGACGCCCATCTTGATGCAGGTGTCACTCAACAGCCTGAAGTCCTATAGGAGGTGCCATGTGTTGGCATTTTCCTACATGATCCCTGTCACACCCGCTCCTCCTCTCCAGTCTAAAATGAGTGTCTCATTGCATCTAGTCTCAAATGTGGCTTGGGCACACCAATCTCTAATGTTTAAGACTGAAGCTAAGTCCACGAACAAAAACGTAGTGGTAAGCCTGCCTAATGTAAACCCAAGCTTTTCATTGGTGGGAGATATGCAGCCTCCTTGCAGCATTTAGTGCCTCTGTTAGAATCATGTGCAATTCAACCAGTTTGGCATTGTTACCTTCTGACCACACAATTGCTGCTTGTGCTTATTGCTGTGTTTCCTCTTGCCACTTCATTGTTGCTTTTGGTTTTGATTGCTTCGGGGTTGTTTTGTTTAAAGTGTCTACTGTGCATCAAAGACTGGAGATGCATTCTGCCCACAGAGGGTGCACAAGAAGCAGCACAGTCATAAAGAAAGTACAAGAAACAGGACACTCCTTGCAGACCCATGCAGTGCTTCCACAGCAGTTCTCATCGGATACTCCAGGTCTCATTCATAAAACCTAACTTCAGGCTCTTAAGGGAAGTCCCTCAGAAAGGCGTCAATCTGTGCTAGAAATGTTGTCTCCTTCTGGTTCAGAGAGAAAAGGACACATTTGCAATATGAGGTGTCTCAGCAAGAGCTTTATAAACACTGCCGAAGCTGGGCCAGTGAGGGTTAGTAGATACAGCAAGGTCACAGCACACGTCTACCACAGTCAGGAAAAGGAGCAGTGGTCTGCTCTCCCATACCTTCTTTGCACCAGTTGCTAGCGAAGTCTCCTCCGTGGGGCAATGGGATGAAGTTAGATGGGCCATCTCTCTGAGTAAATGGCACTTGTTGATGGGACTCTGGTGAAGAATAGCTCAAGGCCCACTGTCCTTGCAAAACAAAGTATTTGGAGGTCTCCCTGCTACTCCCAAACCAGTAAATTTCTCTGCTTTGTTCTTGCCTTCCTAGGTACTTCCAGTTAATCACACAGTGTGTTTGCCTTCCTCTTCCTTGTAACTCAAATTGTGTTTTGGTTTAAATTGAATATATAGTTATTTTTCTTTGTTTCCCTCAGTCCCTGGTCTCCCTGTTTCTGCATTAGAGATGCTCCTTGGCAGCCACGGGAGGGCAGTAAGTCTATATGGAGAAGTACCAGCCATTTTAAAGTATTCTGCTGTGTGCCCCTTGTTTTTCAATGAGGCTGAAGGCCCTAGAGTGTCCGTCATGGCAGGGAGAAAGCACGCACCCCATACCCCAGCACAGCTGCAGTTTGGGCACAGCAAGGGAGAGGCTTTGAGTGAGAGTGAGCTCACACTGTACCAGAATCCATTTAAAACCAGCTGGTTTCAATGTGATGCCATGTTCAGCACTGCAGCTCTGGGTGAGGTGCTGCTGTTACATTGCACACTCCATTTTGTTTGGGTCCCCCCCTATTTTTTTTTAAAAAGCATTCAGTCCTAGTTTAAGTCCTACAAACCTCAAGCATAAGTCAGGGGCTCCTCCAGACATTGCTAAATTAGATTTTCTTCTGAGCATCTTCAAGAAGCAAAGGAATAATTATACTTATTGCTTTGTCATTCCTCCTATCACTTGCAGTCTCCTGTTCTGTCCCAGGAGGTCTTGCTAATCCGGGGGTAAAAAAAAAGAGTACACTGCCGTCATTCCAGCTCTCAGCACTGGGGAATCTAGGGTCTAGCTAGATCATGTTGTCTGCTGTCAGGAGGATGAGGGGCTATATAGTTTTCTTGAACTCAGTTGCTTTATAAGAAAGCAGCCTGGGCAAATGTGGCATCTTTGCCAGAACTTCTACCACACTATTCATACGCCCCCTAACACACTGTTGTATCCCTCGCTGAATTTATCCTTGCTTCCCCTGCCCCCAGTAAGGTAAAGTGATGTGACCTGTTCCCGTTCTACAAATGGGAAACGGAGCAAGAGAGTAAATGCTGGGTTTAAGCTTGGTTACATAAGAAAAATCTGCCCGCATCAGACCAGGGCATCGAACATGATCACACAAGTCACTATCCTTCCTTTTACATCTTCCTTTTGCTGCAGGTTTGCTATCACCTATCTTTTCCCACTCTTAATTCCAGATATTTGCCCTGGGCGCTCAAGGAGTTAAGTGAATATGAACTGTTATCTTCTCCTTTGTGTGACACATTTGTTTGACAGGTGCCCAAGAGCACAATTTGGGAGGTGGCAGTGCTCAGCACTATTTATGGCTCAGTATTAAGAAGATATAAATAAATAGAGACTTTGAAGTGGAACTTGCTAAACTCCTTGATATAGAAACCTGAGACAGGTACAGGGCCAAGTAGTTGGAATGGAAGTTTTCCAAAACTGGGAACTGTTTGAGTCCTATCAAATGCAGCCTGAACTAAGTGACAGCTCCCAAGGCCAACTCAGGATTAGGTCTGTGCAGAAATAAATGGTGTGAAGCCTGGCACTCCTGAACTGCCTTGCGGGGCCTGAAGAATCAGGAGGGGGCAGAGTAGGAAAAGCATTAGGCCTATTTTCTCCTACATCATTGGTTTCTATGATTTCAGGGAGACCTTGCTCACCCCAGTATAAAATGTGAGTAACTCCACAGCTAACTTGCATTTAAGCAGAGTAGGAACAATGTAAAAAGAGTGTGAGAGCAAGTGTGGAAAACCGATCCAGTCTTTTACCTTAGGCCATGCCATCCTCAATCTTTACAAAGCTAAATATAAGCAATTACAAGTCTCCCTGACTTGGTAGAGCTGCATCTATTTATGAAAGAACCTGATTCTTCAGAACTGGTGTAAGGCAAGCAAGATCTCTGGAGCTGAAGGTAGGTATTCAGGATTATTTTTAAAGCTACCTATCCATAGCTTTGATATACCAACAGTCAGTAGCAATAAAATGCCAGGAGCGTTAACAATTATTCCAGCAGGAACTTCTTACCCCTTCATCATGCCAGACAACATATGCCCTCTCCAAATGTGGCCTTTGTAATATTCCAGGAAGTTCAAATTTGAGTTATTTTTGTTCTCCAAATATTGTGCTAATAGTTGTCTTCCAGCACTGTTACGTGCAGTTTCCAAGAGGCATGAAAACCGTTTGACTTTCTTCTTTAATAAGGAAAAGAAAAACACCTGATTTCTGTCCCTATGTGATTTGGGTGGGCAAGCTAAGAACTGAAATGGCAAACACGCTGAATGATTTCAGACAACTCATCATGCTGCCAATTCAAACTCTGGGTTGTGCAGGAAACTAACAGGGAATAGAAATCCAGGAAATGCATTTGGCTATAGAGGCTGTGGCCGGTCAGCCTAGGGAAGAATACAAGGTTAGAAAAACCGAAACATACCTGAGGTATGGCTTAGATTTACAAAAGAGGAGTGGGGTGCTGCCTGTTATGGCAGTGCAGCTATAGCTTTAAAGACTTAAACAGGATGGGAAAATGAGGGCTGGCAGAGGACATAAAGCAATACCAAAGGCACTTAGCATGTAAAGGGTTAGGTCACCTTCCTTGCTAAAAATTGCGCATGTGCATGCTTTTCAGTGCCATCATGAAATAGGAGTGCTGCTGTGGAGCACAGGGAGAAGATCTGTCTTCCAGGAAAGGAACCATGTTTCCTATGCTTGGAAAGCAGGCCACCAGTTAAACTGAAGCGACAGTTGTCAAAATCCATGGAATGGATGGCGCAGCATGTAGTCACTGTCCAGGCTTCATCATTAGATGCTGCGTCTAGTGGGATTGCTGTAGGAAAGGGACATCTTTGTGCTCCCGCCTTGGGCTCCTCCAGGCTAGAAATCTTCTCGGAAGCGTCCGGGAGTTGATGGGAGAGTGAACCTGCACTGCTGGTTCTTGGCACCGCTGTGCCTTGAGGCAAGCTCTTTTCCCTGTGCACAGCTACAGAGCATGTTGAAATTACTCTGCTGTGCTTCCACTGAGGCTTTCCAAGCACTTCTTTAGGAGCCAGGCTTCAAGAGCACAACAGAGCAGAAAAATGCCATTAGCTCTATTTTACAGATAGGAGTTGAATAATTTGCTCAGGGTCAAATGAAGGGCTTAACCTGGATGTCTGGACCATCTCTTGATCAGTCATTCCTTCCAGAGGCTTGTATTAACTGCTGGCGTCTCCCTCTTAGCTGCACTCAGATATGTGTCAGTCGGGATATTCTGCCACCAATCGATCTCTCTCTCCAGGTATGCAGACACAGATGTAGATACTAGAGGTCAGATTATGCAGTCCTTCTCAACTGACCTCAGGAACTGGATCGATAGCCGCAGCAAAGCAGAAAAAGGGTCAGTCAGCATCCAAAGGTAGCAATGATTCTGCTTTCCCCCTAGACTGACTGCTGGAAGTAAATCATCAGGACTGTCTGCAAATCACCTTCAGGTAAGTGGATGGAGCTTATGAGTTTGTCCGTTTGCCACACAGGCGCTCAGAAAAACCCCTCAGCTTTCCCTGTCTCACTCCCACACCTTGCTGCTTGTTGGAACAGCGAGGCAAGATGCCAGGAAGCCAGAACAAGGACCGGCTCTCAGGGCAGTGAAAGAAAACACGTTGTCTTGGGGACGATTCCAGGCTGGGGCAAAATAGCTCACTGCTCTTCAGCTATGTGACACATGGCAATGCCGTGCCAAAAGCTGGGGCCAATGGCTGAGTTTGGCAAGACAATTTACTATTAGCCAGCAGAGCAACCTCTGATGACTAGTGTTGATTCTTAGTTCCAGTAAAGTGTTCAGAAATAGCCCTGTTTCTCCCATATTCTCTGGCTCCAGCTTGCCTTCCTGTTTAGAACAACTCTGCGCAAGCTGTTCCAGATAACCCTTCTGTCCATTGTAAAAAGCTCTTTAGAGTGGCTAAATGCAGGCAAAGGACTGGCTTCTGTTTGCCTAGCTTCAAAATTAATTTGCCATGTTTACCCAGGGGGTGAATGGCTTCGCTAGTTATCATCTGTAAAGGGAATCCTAGCTGGAAGCTACGAAGAACTGAGCCTTTCCACTGTGCAGGATCGATGCCTATGCAGGATTGATTGAGGTACACATAATCAATCAGGTGGCAAGAGGAGAGGGCAAAGCACTCACCAAACTATGCAAGCAAATGCAATTTACAATGAGTAGAAACAACTGATCTGCCTAGCCTAGAGATAAAGAAGAATTACAGACTGAACAATGTTTAACCGAGTCTCACAGATTTGGGGAGAAACAGAAATACCGTATTCTTGAGGCACATAGCTGCTAATCAGACTGCTGTACTCTTTTCAGCTTCATCTCATCCAAAATGGCTTTGCTCGATACCTGTAAAAAGCACCATTGTGCAACAGAATTTGAACAGGCAAGCATGATATTGTGAATGGTTTACTACATTAACCGCTAAGGTGGCAGGGGCAAGGTGCCCATCCTTGCCCTACACTGTCCCACGTGCTATCCAAAGACAAGGACTGGTATCACTTTCTTCCATTTAGTGCTTCTATCTGCAGCCTCTCCACCTGGCACTGTCCTTCTCTCAACGTACTCCACCCCTATGGGCTTGTCTCCAATTTTCCAAAGCACCCGGTACCTGCTTGGCACCCATGTGGCAAAGTTTGAAGGGAGCGGTGGGTGGCATGAGCCACAGCCAAGCGTGGCGTGGTAGTGTATGCGTGGCGTGCTGCACGACTTTTTCTGGCAATCCTCTGTCAGTGATGAACGTGTTTGTAGCTTGGGCTTGTTGTGGCTTGTTACCACCTCATCTAGAGAATAACACCTACTTTTGTTTTCTTTCATAACCTAAAGAGAGAAAAAAATCCACGTACCTATATGTAAATTTCCAGTTTGTGAGAACGTATTTGCAATGCTTCTTTTCCCCCAGTGGGAGAGAAAATCATGTTTTCCAGCCCACTGAGCATGTGTGTGTGGAGGGCAGGGGCAAACCCTGGTGAAAGATAATGAGGCTGTGATCTGCCTCACATCCCTGAGAAGAGAAATCCAGGCAGGTACCCTCTAAAACACCTGAAGAGTAGGCTCGCTACTTTTTCCCCAAATAATTATTAGAGATAACCCCAGCATTGGTGTGCCTGCGCCCACCTCCTGTTAAGAGTTCAGTACTGTATAGTCAATGCCCTGGAACTATATAGCACGAGCCACAAATACCCTGTCAAGAGCCACTGCAGTCTGTTCTGGATAGATAATAGCAGGAGACAAGAAATGCTCGAGTCTTAAGCTTTGCTACCAACACTGGCATCCCAGGCCTGTGTTGGTCTCTTCCCTGCAGACCCACGGAGATAATAAATCGCCTCCGTGGTTTGACACCCTTCACCTTTCCTTCCCCAAAGTGGCCCCTCTCTGGGTGACACAATGGGTGAGTGGTGTGAGCAGGGGCACGGAGAGGCATTTGTGAAGGTAGCTTTCTCAGCAAGGCAAAACCTAGGTGGCAAAGGGAAGGTTTTTGTGTCTTCTTCCCCCTCCTTTTTTTCAACTAGGGGACAAGGCAGCCCTTCAGCAGTCCCCTCCTCTCTACAGAACGTGACAGCCACCCCTTCCAGCCAGGGGGCTCGGGGCCCTCCAGCAGCCCCACTGGTGTTCCCTGCCCTCTCCAGCTGTGTGGAGCAAAGCTGCTTGCTGAGAGCCCTGGCGGGAAAATGGGAGGGGAAGCCATGAAATACCCATCCTGCTCCCTGCACCGTGTCTTCCTCTTGGACAGAAAACATTTGTCTCAAGAACTGCCACACTGGCTCCTTCTGACAGCATTAAATCATCTTAAAAATAAAGTGCTCACTGACTGAATGAAATTGAGCCTTGTCTCCTTCCCTTTGCAGTGAGGAGAGAGAGAAAGAAAGGAGAAGTACAAAGAATGCCTGAGTACTTTGGGATGAAAATACACAGTTCAGGAATCAGAGAAGTCCTAAGTGTTACAAAAATAGCTCATCATTTGGACTATGATGATACTGGACGTGCATCTACCACTGACTGAGTCAGAGAGATCTCATTTCTTTACAAGGCTGTTGCTCTCATTCTTGGCCATAAAGCCATGTAAATAACATATGGTACAAACAGCGTCACTGAAACCTGCCAAAGTTTTGAAATACCTACAAGTTAACTACTAAAACCAAGCCACCTGTCCAGTGACTTCTCCTTGAGCTGTTCCAGTTCATCATCCCTATATTATTATAAGTTGATGGAACACCATAAATCTATGTAGTCAGATAAGACACTTCTCCTGCCCTGAAGAAATTACCCTCTAAAGAACATGAGTGAACACAAGGCAAAATTCCTCAAGAGGTAGTTTATCTGAGCCTCAGTGGTTACTTGGAGGATAACAGAGGGAAGCATTTCCAGAGCAGCTTTTGCTTTGTGGTTAGCTGTGTGAACATGGGAGAAGGATGGTGACGTATATTTTATTGTGGTTGTAGAAACAGCTTGGGCCTGTCCTATGCAAGAGGATTTCTGAGTGTTCTCTGAATAGCCTGGATACTTGTCAACCTAATGACATGACCAATAGCTGCTTAATTGAGACTCCATTAACTCTTTTTTCCTGCAGGTTAGCTGTCTGCCTACTAATTTCCTGTTGCAGTGGAGCCCTTCTTACTGCAGGGCTCAAAGATCCTTCCAGGCTCTGGTTCTCTAACTTTTTTTGTTTGTAGAAGTTTAGCCACTCTGGCCCATTCCTCTCTGTGCTCCTCTCCGGGAACTTGGCCTACTTTGTACGAGGCTTTAAAGAAGCCAGCTTTCACCGGGTTCTTCAAAGCAGTCAGCGTCAGAACTGCCAGAGCTTTTCTTGGGTGTTCCCTGGCACCCAGTAAGTGGCGAGCTGCTAGGTGGTGAACGAACAGATGCCTCTCAGAAAACAGCAAACAGGAGGAAAGCAACCCCATGCAAAGGCTGACGGTGACCCTGCTGGAAGTCACAAAGAGCCCTGGACTCACTCTTCCCAGTGCCCTTCTTGCTGCTTCTACCCCAGACCCCCAGCAGAGCTGTTTATGCACCTCATGAAATTGCATCATTAAGCCTTTCATTATATAATTATCAACAGGCAATATGAGGTGAAGATATGATGGCATGGCTAAAGCATCTGTGACCGAGTCAGGACTTCCAGCTGCTACATCAAGCTTCCCCACTGTCCTTGGGTAAGGTACAGACTTCTTTCTGACTTGCAAAATCAGGATATTTGGAGAACTAAATAATCTTCAACAAACCATTTTAACATCAGTAGAGAGAAGGCTCTGGGGAAGTGTGACTCTTTATTAGTTATAATTTAAATTTATTATAATTTCCATTAATTTATATATTATATATATTATGAGGATAGATATATCATTATAGTATTTATTGCTGTATTGTAATTTATATTATTAAGGATAGATATCATTATAGTATTTATTGCTGTATTGTAATTTATATTATTATAATCAAATTTATCATACTTTTATTATAATTTAATAAAAGATTCATTTATATAATCCTCATAGGTGTAAGATTCTTGCCAGAAATGCTCATGTTTCTGGATAAGGCAGCAAGTATGTTGAAATTTGACTGAATATAACACTACTGAAGAAGATGTGAGAAGCAAATGACAGTTGTAGTGCCAAAGATGTGTTGTGGCTGATTTCTTAATAATGTTCACTTCTTGTTCTTATAGGTAATCAAGACACTCCTCAAACTCTGGGAACTTGCTTTTTCACAGGGCTGCTCTGGCTTGCTCTGTAAATTCAGATCTGCCTTGCACAGATCTGCAAAAGAATGCAGGCATATAGCACAAAAACTGCATGAGATTTAGACACTGAAGTAAAAACTTTTAACCTGCAACAACCTTATTCTGCTGTCACATCATACTGGAGGCACTAAGGCATCAATGCATGCCAACGTTTAGGTTTTTACATAGAAGTTTCCTAGGTTTCTTCTCTCTACCCTGCTTGGAAGGGCTTTATCTGGCAAGTGTTTGCATAGCGCATTTAGCAGATCAGCTCCTGCACAAACTCTGACAGTTGGTTCAAAGCATGGATGAAGGAGGTGTCACTGCTGTTTTACCTACAGTCCTTTGGTGGAGAGCACAAAACCAGAATGGGGTGGCCTGGGCTGATCCCCACAGGATTCACGTTCACGTCTCTTGCCTGTCAACAAGGCAGAGTTTGCACAAGGCCAGACTGCAAATTCGTCTGGGATTTGGAAGGGATGGAGGAGTGCTCCATTCTCATTTCCTCTCGCTGAGCTTTCCCATTATGTAGAGCATAATAATAAATAATAAGAATATGAATAATGCTGGAGAGAGGAGAAGGCAAGAGCATGCATAACGATTAGGGTCCCTACGTGACGGTGGAGTGCTGTAAGTCTTCACAAGCAGAGAGGGAGCCTGAATTTGGACCTCCCAAAGCCCATGGGAACTGTCAACTGTGAGGCTGTTACTTAAACCACTGATAGCTTTTCTGAAGAAAAGGATGACTCTCTGGTCTATTTTTGAAGCACGGCACTCTACCCCTTCCTTTTTTCCAGGGTTCAGGGCTGTAAAACTCATAATTGGTAGCACTAAACCAATCCCAAATACTGACAGTATTTTTTCTCTTTTACCATTTTTCTCCAGTTTACAGGGAGGTCTTGCATGGCTTCTGCCGTGGAACAATTCTCCCAGTGCTTTACATACACCACGTTTGACTTTTTATTTAGGACTGTGGTCACAGCTAGGCAACCATCCCCGCAAAAGTTAGCCTCTGGATTCTGGATTGTGAGACCTGGGTGTCCTGCCCCTGTTCCCCTCAAGAACTAAAAAGTAACAAAAAAGGACATAAAGTATCAGCTCCTAGCAGCTTCCATCCAGCTTTCAATCCCACCTCTCTGCATTCCAAACCTAGTGGAAAACAGACACTTCTCTCTTCTTTAGTCTAAGTATAGAAAGAGCTAGCCTTGCACTCAAGTTCAAGGGGTCTTTTAAGGCTGCAGAAAGCCTGGCAACAGAAGGTGTGATGCAAATTGAACAGTAGCGGCAGAAATATCCAATGGTGGGAATAAAGGGAACCAGCCAGGCCTGTCTTTGAAAGATGGTGAGAGCTTTATCCTGTGCTTGTTCTGCCTACATCTCAAACTATGACAGTGTGCTCGTGCAGAAACCCATGCAGTTCTCCGTGCTCAGCACAGTGAGTAAGACATATTTCACAATTAATGCCGAGCTGACACAAGCAAAGTGATGTTACACAGAAACTTAGAACTGACATCCAAATTCAGTACAGGAGTAGATAAAAGAGTGTCCTTAGAAAAGACACCTGAAACATGTCTCTTTCCAGATGAGGGTAAAGATGATCTTTCCTTTAGAGAAAATAGTATGGAATTAACCACAAATAGAACAGTTAATTCGTATGCATTTCTGGAAGTGTCAGTATTGAAATTAAGAAAACTAGGCATTTTTTTGACAAAGCTTTTCAAGGCTGGTATCTTATTGCAGCCATGTTTTTGCATCATCTAACACATCCAGTCTCCATCCTATTCTCAAACATGAAAGTGTCATGTTTGGCCTTTCCATTTCAGATATATTGAGTCTACGCACAGCCTGTGTGTAGAACAATTAAATCAATAATGTGTCTTCCCCAGGGAATTATTTTTTAACCTTTCAAGTTCAAATCTAGCCTTTCTAGTACTGACTGAGGCTTGCTTCCAATCCGGATAATGTCTGGGTGATGAGTTTTCCTAAATTTATTTGTAGCTGTCTGTTCAGTGCCTAGCAGAGACCTCCTCATGGCTTACCTGGGAAGCTGAGTGGGGCTTGGGTAGGAAGCATATCTTTTTATTTTTTTAAAAAATCATGAAGGAATATATGTAATATTTAAACAATATTTTGTGCGTTCATAAATACCAGCCAAATAACCTTTGGTATGAGCAGCTAGAGATAAGGGATATAATTATCCCCCTCCACAGAGGGGGGGAAGTTTGGCACTAGCAGGTTGGCAGTAATATCCACCAACGGGCCGTGTAGAGTTAAAACCCTATATACACTTATAGCAGACCATTTATCCAGTTGCCTTTTTCACAAATCCACAGCACCCGCAACTCCTACCAACTTTCACATAGGTCCTTCAGTGTGGATTTAAGCGCTCAATTCAAGCTACTAGTTAGCTGAAAAGGTTGGCCAAAGCAAGCAATTGACAACGCTGAAATTAAAGCTTGGGGCTGTTTGTTGGTCACTCCTATAAGTTACGCTACGACTAGAGGAGAATTATGAATCCTGTTTAAGAAGAAATGAACTATTTAATCTCCAAACCTCATCCAAATATACTTCTGCACTAATGCAGCCATGTGGCAAATGCACCATAAAGAATGTATTGTTATTTTTCAGACAGGAAAGTTGCTGACAGAGGCAGGCGCTTACCAGAACATCCAGAAAAGCACAGAGCTAGCTGTTACTATTAGCCCCTTGCAGTATCTGTGAGACACCACATCGCTGGAATCAACCTGTAGGAAACAACGCATTAATTTTATTTCCAACACGTATATGAGCATGCAATTTCCAACACATGCGTGAGCAGCATCAACCGCGATTTTACGCCAATGCTTTGAAAAATCACCCTGGCATCCACGTACGAAGGTATCTCGGAGGTGGAGCGCCACAAAATGGAGTTGCTCCCATCGCTCAGCATTTGCCTGGAGCCTGCTAGGCACAGGGCTCCTGTGCATCTCTTCGTATACATTAACGTCCCCGGAGGGCTGGCGGGACTGCCTGAGCAGTGACACCCCCCCACACACACACACCCCCGGGCCCTCCTAAGGCGCGGGGTACGCGCGCTGCCTGCCCGCGTCCTTTCCCGCCGAGGGACCAACCTCCCCCGCCCGGCCCGAGGCCG